GGGGGCTGACCCTGATCAGAGCGATCAGGCCGAGGTTCCCCACTAACGTCAGCACTTAGGTGCCCAGGAAGAGGGTGAAGAGGATGGGCTTCAGCTGTGGGTGCTCCGTGAGTCCCAAGAAGGTGACCCAGGTCACCTCGGTGCAGTTCTCATCAGCCATTCTTACATCACTGCAGAGAGACGTGGAGGGAAGAGGGTGAAAAAGATCCTGATGCAATTTCCACTTCATAAACACCAACGTAAAAAGCTGACACCGCCATTGAATTTAAATGGAAAAGAAAAAAATGGAAGAACTGCTGATTTTTTCCTTGCAATGACAGTGCCATCTCTGGAAGAAACATCAGCAGTTCTTAGATTTTTTTAATTTTTTTTTTTCTTTACAGAAAGCAGTTTGTCACAACCTCTCCCTTGGCTTATGATTCCCTTCTGGTATCAAGTCCTATACATGCACAGGGATTTTTTGGGGGGCACATGGAATGTTTCATAAATATCCTGTCCACAGCTGCAAACACGTAACCTTGTTCACACTGATGATTTTTCCTATATTTCAAACATCTAGTTCATCTCAAATATCTTAAGGCTACAGTTAACACAAGGTCCCATCACAAAGACTTGGAATTTATCATCCTGTGGGATAATGTCTGTACTTTTTAGTCTAAGAACTGGTATCGTTTTATCCATCCAGAGGCGAGGTGTAGTCTTTCCTTCTGGCATTGATTCCTTAGTCGTTAGAAGTAAGATCCAACTTGCTTTGGATGACCACGCTATACACAGCTGTAAATGAGCTGTCTAGCCTCCCAGACAACATACAAAATTGGCTTTTCTGACCTATTAGGAACCATTTTGCTTGGGATAAGAGAACTCAGCTTCTGAAGGTACCTCTGAGGATGACCTGTTCAGATGTTGACACTTGCACTGTAGAGGTGAAAGGGAGAAGATATCAACCCCAGCTGTCTCCCTGCAGACCATCATGCATGCAACATAACCCCTGAAAGTTGCCACTTTCACTTTTAACATTTTGACCAAAGACTGCCAAAGCGGGTAAATCTGAAGGCAAATTTTCCCTTCACTATTTCCTTTCCAGTTCAGGATTTTGGTCTCTTTCGCATAACTGATGTAAAACTGCTCAAGCAGATATCTAGAATACATACAACACATTAAAAATCCAGAACCAATGGTAGTCAAACAATACATATTTGGTTAAACATACCTAATCAGAAATTTCTGGGATCAATCAAGTGAGACTAATCTCAGCACTTTTACAGAATGACATATTACTCCTCTATAAAGAAGTTTTCATCATTCAACCTTCCTCAAATAGCTTCAAAATTACCTACAATTTTACACCTTCCAAACCCCCTTTCAGTAGACTAAGACATACCTTTAGCTCCCATTTTCAGAAAGGATGTTCCAATAGAGTGCCAACATGCTCCTCCAACTCGGTGCATGATCCAATCCTCATCTTTCACTCCCACTAATGTCTTTATCAAGAAGCTCTTGATATCATTATCAGAAAATATCCTTGCTTGGACTGGAGTCAGGCACTTCCACAAGGCCATTCTATCCATCTGGAAAAGCTCTCGGATGTTTAAGGTCAATTTTAACTTGTTGGCTTCTTGCATTTAGTGAGAGGGTAGACAGACAGCGTGGAGCTATGCTTATGAAGTTTGGGTGTCTAAATTTAGGTTGAGATTCCCAAGAAGAAAAAGATCTGTGCATATGGCAAAGGAATTAATGACCTAAAGTATAGACCTAAGGGCCAGACTAAGCAAGGACAATAAGGGGCAAACAAGCCAGAGGATGGAGCAGCCAGGCCAAGGAGAGAAAGCTACACTCTTTGGTAATTTTATGTTGGTGTCAAATATTGCCTGCACCATCTGCAGCAGCAACGGTCATCTCCTGCTGCCTACAGGTACCTACAAAGCCCTGTTTCTCCATTTATCCTCTGATCTAAGCTGGGTGTGATGAACCCAGGGATGGTTGTGCTGTTGGGTGGGCAAGGGCAGCACACGAGATTTGGGGTATCCAATCTCACCAGTCACTAAAATTCCTTCTTACACGTTGCCATTGTCATCTTTATTCTTTTATTCATTCGTTCATGTCTCTTCTCCTGCAGCTCCTGGGGGTGACGCAGTGAAATGCACTTGAGGATTGTGTCTGCAGACTGCCTTTTCTCTGTACATGTTCTCTTTTCTGAGATCCCTGTTATTTTGAGAATGATGATCAATGCCAGATATTGACACCTGAATAGGTATTTCCAACAATTATGATTTAAAACTTCCTTCAGTTCCTCTTCCTGTTCATAGACATTCGAGTCCTCCACAGTGTTCAGCCAGAATTGAAACTTCAGACTCTTATGCCATTTATTGATTCAGACAGACTTTCAAAACTGAATCATAACAGTGAGCAATTTTTCCACCCTTCAACTTGAAGATGGGCCATGGACAAGGCTAAACGACAAACTTGAGAAAAGCTAATTTTCGCCCTGTGATTTAAACACAGCAGTAAACTAAGAATCCTTATTTGTTGCGTTTATTATCTATTGTGATATTCAAATTCCTTGTGAATTCACTTGTAAGAGTTACTTGACGTGCATTGTCATTTTCCTCTTCTTTTGTCTTCACTGCATTCTTTATCACTAGTCTCTTAATAAGACCCATAATTTTCCTACCTTGCATCAGAGCTTCTGCAGTTTTTCATAGTTCTCCTCCATCCCAGTGAAACTACGGGCAGGTGGGACCATCAGGCAGGTGTTGATGGAAGATTTTGTCCACGCATGCAGCCACCACATAGTTGTTAACAGAGATTCATGAGGACAGTCAACACCTACCCATGCAGCATGACTTTGTATCACAAATTCACCTACCCTCTCTTATCTCACAGGCCTCCCATGTTATTTGCAGACCCACACTCAGCAATTATGGTGCCAAAGTCAAAGAACTGGCTCTGTTGGTCTTTATGAAACCAGAATGATGTCGCATGGTCATAGGATAAACCATCCTAGTCTCTCTAGGGCACCTGGAGTGAGATCTCCCCAAGGGCATCCTGCAGGGATTTCTCTCTGAAGTTCATGTTTGGGGAAGTGGTGAAAACATCAGAAATAATACGTGCAGAGGATAAGAAAATTTGCTGGCCTACTTAACTTAGCTAGAAAAAAATAAGCACAAGAAAAAGCATTTTTGGAGAAGGACTTAGATCAGGAGAACTTTTCCTTCCTTTGTTTCTGGAGAATAAACTAGTGACTCTTTATTAATGGGTCAGTTTAGGGAAATCAGTGTTTATCATTGCAACAGAAAGTTAGGTTAAATGTACTTCTGTTTGTACTGCATTTTTTTGATAAAGTGGTATTTATTAAAGAAAAAGCAAATCAAATTACAGTAATCAGTTTGTTATTATAGTCTCACTTTTCTGTTTTTGTGATTGTTAGAGGGAAATACATCATGTGTGGTCCAACAGCCAACATGCATTTTCTGAAGTTGGTGAAATATACTTTTAAAAGCAAAACCACACACACAAAATAAAATCCCAGAAAAAAAAGAATGTATTATCCCAAGGAAAAGGTTTTTGGTCATTACAGTTGAGTTTTGAACCCATTGTCAACACGAGCAACAGCTGAGAATGGATGAAGCTGTAATTATTTCCACTGGTTTAATATTAAGAATGTGCATTTGTTGCCACTAAGATCCAAGTCCCCACAGGGAAGTCATTATCTTACCCTTTACACCAAGGCAGCAACCACAAAAAAATGGCCACTTGGACAGACATCCTCCACAGTTGGTTTTTAGTAAGGCGTAGTGTGCAAACAACACAGCCACATGGGTTATTTAGCACCAGGCACAACAGCATGACATGGCACAGCCCTTTAACAGAGCCTGAGGTCCACCTCAAGCTGGAGGAGTTTATCACCCCAGCCCAGAGCCCCGTAACCAAGATACACCCACAAGTTTGTAGCCACAAGAGGCAGAGTCTGCACAGCCCTCCCTCTCTCTGCACAGCCGTTTCCACCACCTTGTGGTCAGCCACACCTTCACTTTTTGCCTGGAATGAAGCACTCTGCCTAGTTGGGGACTCACACAGACCTACAGCATCCTCTGAGAACTTTTCTTCATTCTACCAAGACGGAGAAGAACCAGAGGAATGGTCACAAAGTCCTTGACTGGAACAGAGGAACTTGAGGAAAATCTTTATTGCAAGGGGTCCTGGAACAGGCTGCACAGAGATGGTATGGAGTCTCCTTCTCTGGAGACATTCAAAGCTCACTTGGATGCATTCCTGTCCAGCCTGCTCTAAATGACCCCGCTTTGGCAGGGGGTTGGACTAGATGTTCTCTAAAGGTCCCTTCTAACCCCTACAATCCAGTGACTGCAAAGCCCCCCTTTCTCCCCATGGCAAAGAGGAGTCTGAGAAAGCTCTCTAATGGACAGAGATCAGCATAGTTGACATCTCTAGTTTACGGGAGTTGATTTGCACCCTGGCAGACTGATTTTTTGAGACACATGGTGCGACCCATGGCCAGATTGTGCCTGGTGGCACTGCAGATGTTGCAGCTGGATTCTTGGCACACTGAAAACACACCCAGACTGGTGACCCTGAAGGATGGCAAAGGAGACTTCCTTCCAGTCAATCTCCCACAAAGGAGGTGCTTACACGTTCTGCAGGAGCAATGCAGTCAATAAGAAGCACTAAGATGTTTTACAATAGAAGAATGTGTATCTAAAGGTGCATATGGTACCAATTCCCAGCATTCATGCTCTAAGATATGCATCCAACTCCCATGTCTAAGGCTGAGGCTCTCATCTAAGCTTCCTCTCTGCTCAGTGGAGAAAAATATTACCAGCTGAAGTCATCTTCTCCTGTGATGACCTAAAACTGTGCCATCCAGTTGGCCTTCTGGAGGTACATACCCCTCCCTCTTGACTTAGAGGGAGCCCAGACGAGGGGTTTTGATTCCAGTTTTTAGATGGCTAAAGTTAGAGAAGACCAGTCACAAACTGCGGTGCCTACCCAACTGCTGGGGCTCTAGAAGATGCCAGAGACTGAGAGAAATGTTGTCTCCTTAAAGCAGTTCTGACCTGAATGATGAGTCTTCTCAGGGCACATTTAACTTCTTTGTTCCTCAGAGTGTAGATTATGGGGTTCAGCAGGGGAGTGAGGGTTCCATAGAGCATGGAAACAATCCTATCCTGGTGAGGTGAGTAGGTGGAGGAAGGCCGTACGTACGTGCAAATGGTGGTCCCGTAGAAGAGGCACACCACTGTTAAGTGAGACCCACAAGTGGAGAAAGCTTTGTGCCTGCTCTCAGAAGAGCTCATGGACAGGATGGCCACCAGGATATAGAGATATGAGACCAGAGTGACCACAAAGGCACCGCTTCCCAGGACCCCAGCAATGAGGAGGGTCACCAGTTCCCTACTGTAGGTAGGCGAGCAAGAGAGGGCCAGCACAGGGGGAATATCACAGTAGTATTGGTCAACTTCATTGGGACCACAAAAAACAAGTGTAAAAACCAAAGATGTGTGCAAGAGAGAATTAAAAAATCCTACTACCCAGGTGCCAATGGCGAGGTGAGCACACAGTTTCAGACTCACAATATTCATGTACTGCAGTGGATGACATATCGCAACGTAACGGTCATAGGCCATCACAGCCAAGAGGAAGATCTCCGTGCCAACAACGTCAATGAGGAAGAAGAGCTGGAGCATGCAACCTGTGAATGAAATCACTTTTTTCTCCAGCAACAAGGCCTCCAGCATCTTCGGCACAGTGATAGTGGGACACAAGATATCCAGCAAGGATAAGTTGCCAAGGAAGAAGTACATGGGGTTGTGCAGACGCATGTCTGTGCACATGGCAATCAGGATTGTGATGTTGCCTGCCATGGTGGCCAAATAAATAATCAAGAACAGCACAAAGAGAAGAAAACGGACTTCCGGAGCATCAGAAAGGCCCACAAGAACAAATTCGGACACCGTTGATAGGTTGACCCTCTGCATCTTATCTTTCGTGGTAGAAATGATTGCAGAGGAGTATGTACCTGAAAGAAAGAAGAAATGGTAACTTACTCAAAATTGCATCTCCCTTCCAAAGGGCATGATTTGTTTTGGTCTGTTTTTCAGTTCAAAAACACTTGCAAGTCTGCATTGCCACACTCAAAGTCTAAATTTTACTCACATATCCCCAATGTAAACAGCAAAAATATAGGTATTAAGCTTGGCAGTGATTAAACAAACAAGTTGAATTCTTGCAAGCCATCTTCTCAGACTGAAGAGCTGGAAGTTGAAGATAAAGAGGCCTCCCCTGTGGTGGTCAGCTTGGCTGGACACAGCCCTGAGCAACCTGAATGGGCTTTGAAGGTATCTGCACTCTGAGCAAGGTGGTGATGAAGTACAGATCTCTAGAAATCCTCTCAGCATAAATCATTTAGCTGTACTAATATCACCAAAGGGGTCTAGATTACTAGCTGGAGCTTTAAAAAAAAAAAAAAAAAGATCTTTAATGCTATCACAGAAGAAATAAATCCCCAGCCATCAACAGCCAGGTAGTACACCCCAGATGCATTTTTTTTTCCCAGTAGTGTAAAAAAAATAGATATAATCTAGTGTCCAATCAAAGACATCCCTCCTTTCTATAAATTTTACCTTATAGTTTTCCAGAACAGTATTAGTACTTTTAGGATCTAGCTGGATTTCCCTCCCCTTTTCACAATTTCAAGAATTCTAGGAAGACTTAGCATTGAAGGATCTCTCTATCTACCCTCATTGCTTCCTTGAGCAGAACTCAGTACTTATGGAAATGATTTACATAGTGGCCCCATATGAGAGAGATAAAGCAAAGTTTGGCACAAACACCTCCTTGCTTGCAGATTAGAGCAGGATTATGAGATGGTGTGAATATTGTAACACATTCTCCTTTTTAAGGGATACAAAACACAAATTAAATAGGGGACTATGGTTTCCCATCTGAGACATGCTCATCTGTCATCTCAAGTTCTCACAGAAGCTTTGTCCCAGCTTGAAAGGGACCAACATCAGAGCTTAAACTGCCATAAGAAATATTTTAGTCAGCAGAAATAAAAGGCACATGGTTGTTGACATCCCAGCATCACTTGTTCTTAAAATGAGGAACTTCTTCAGGTGAAATACAACAGAAACTTCACACAGAAATACTCACTGGTACAAGGAATTAACTACTGGAAATAGATAGTGGTCTGTATCTCCAGGAAATGGGACTATCCTTTTTCTTCTTTCTACATCCAATTAGAATATCTACATAGGACAGAAAAATTCTTTCTCTGTAGACTCAGGAACATCAGTCTATTAAGGAAGCGGTAGGTCCACATTTAGCAGCACAGGAATATTCACACAGATGTCCACAAGCACCAGCAAAACTGCCAGGGTGGCTGCAAGAGTAAGCACCTCTGGTCTTTAATGAGGATTTATAAACATATGAGGCTGTATCTGGGGAGGAGTGTCTCTGAAGCTTTCTGGGATGTTGCCTTTATTGCATGTAGGAGGCTTTTTCAGGATATTGTCAAAGACTCAGTGGGAGCTAGAAATGTCATAAACTGTTTCTTCACCCTGAATCCTTTGATTCCTGTGATTTCCATATTCTAGGACATTTTTAAAGGGCTGTGGCTCAATATTTGAGAATGCTCCCAGGAAAAAGAAATAGATGGCATCCTTCTCCCTAGGTCCTGCCAGCCCTCCTCAGGTGCCATTCCAGGTTACTGAAGTTTCACATCTCGCAGGAGTCCAGTGCTCTGATTTCTTTAAGTTAAACCACAGCCTTCAAATCACTTGATCACAGGTTGTTTTCAAACCAGTTTGTCTTGCTCTGGAGCTTGAAGTCTATCACTTACACATATTGGGGCAACAGCTACTCTGTGGAAGAGCATACCTTAGACAAGGGCAGTGGTGACAGCCAACACAGCACTATGTGCCAGTGTAAATGCCTCCCACGGTGATTTTATGGGCAACCTCTAATTCTCATACAGGAGCAACCTTTTAAATTAGATGGGGATTGGTCTCTTTTCTCAAGTCACAGGCGACAGGACAAGAGGAAATGGCCTCAAGTTGCACCAGGGGAGGTTCAGGCTGGATATTAGGAAAAACTTTTTCACTGAAAGTGTTCTCAGCCATTGGAATGGGCTGCCCAGGGAGGTGGTTGAGGCCCCATCCCTGGAGGTGTTCAAAAGCCGGGTTGATGTAGTGCTGGGAGGTCTGGTTTAGTGATGATGCTCCTTGTTTGTTGTGTGGGTGTCTATTTTTGTCAGTCAGGTTGACGGTTGGACAAGATGATCTTTAAGGTCCCTTCCAACCTAGAAGATTCTGTGATTAGTGTGCCCCCTACAGAAGTGACAGGAGATAAACCACTCATGAAATCCATGCACCCCTTGAAGCAGATGTGTACCCTGGCATAAGAAGGAACAGAAGTTACCAGCACTGCTTTGAAGAGCTAACAAAAATTCCCCTTCTGGATCCAGAAAGTATCCATGTGTCATACATTCATTTATGGGAGCACCACTTCCCACCTGATGTACAGGGATAGGAACACATCTGTCCTAGTTTCACCTGCCCATAATTTCCTGATTATTAACATGAATAGTGCTGTTTTCAGTCCTTCTCAAAGCTCGTTTACTGTTTACAGTGTGTGACTCTTACAAAATTAAGACTTCTGAGTATGTATCGGATGATAAATTGGAGTTCTTCAAGGATTACAAAGCCCAGACCTCTCCCTCCATGGCTGTGTAGGACCTGTGGCTGGAGTAAATCCACATGGTCCAGATCTTTGTGTGCTGCCCTTGCTCCAGGACCATCAGGCATTGTACTTCCTGTGAAGTTGTGCAACAAAGAACAGATCTAATCATTTTATAATTAGCGGAGATGCTAGAAAGAGATATAAAAAGAGGACAATCTCATCCACAGCTGTGGGAAGAACTAGGGCTGTGCCTTCCATCTCCCAAAACAGTCTTCATGCCACTTCCACCATCAGTGACCCATCTTCTCCTTGAAGAGCCACAAGAGGGCAATACCTCATGAAAAGTATCCGTGGCTTCAAAGTCCATTGCTGTGAAGATGGTGAAGGGACTGGAGCATCTCTCTGATGAAGAAAGGCTGATGGACCTGGGGCTATTCAGCCTGGAGAAGAGAAGACTGATCAATAGTTATCAATATCTAAAGGGTGGGCATCAAGACGATGGAGCCAAACTGTTCGCAGTGGAGTCCAGCAACAGGACAAGGGGCAAAGGGTACAAACTGGAACAGAGAAGTTCCATCTCAACATGGGGAAAAACTTTTTTACTTTGATGGTGCCACAGCTGCCCAGAGAGGTTGTGGAGTATCCTTCTCTGGAGATACTCAAAATCCTGCCAAACTATTGTCAAGAGATGGTGTGCCACTACTGACTTCCTATTCGCTTTCAGTATTTTTTATTCTGAGATTTTACATCTAAATCCCAGTGCTGATAATCCAACCTTTGTACAACATCAGGATGTGATCAAGATATGCTTTTAGCCTAATCTAACCTCATTAAATTACAAGCCTGGTTATTTGTGACATCATTAGCCCAACACTACAAAAGCTGAACCCCCAGGATTATAATGCCCGTGAACGATACATGCCAATAGTTTGCCACACGCAAAGTCTTTAAGCTCTCATGAAAGTCATCAACAGTTACCAAAAGCTTCCTCAGATGTGCCTGTCATGCTGTTATTTTATAAATATATTTAAATAGCTCATAAAAAACCTATATATAAAGCTCTTACATAAAACTATAAGTCTATATAAAAATAAATATCAGGTAGTGTAGCAACAGGACAAGGGGTAATGGTTTTAAATTGAAAGAGGGAAGACTTAGATTAGATACTAGAAAGAAATTCTTGTCTGAGAGGGTGATGAGAGCCTGGCCCAGGTTGCCCAGAGAAGCTGTGGCTGCCCCATCCCTGGAGGGGTTCAAGGCCAGGCTGGATGGGGCTTTGAGCAACCTGGTCTGGTGGGAGGTGTCCCTGCCCAGGGCAGGGGGGTGGGACTGCATGGTCTTTAAGGTCCCTTCCATATTTAACCATTCTATGATTCTAAATAAATCTGTTGTATTCACCTTATGCTTGCCAAGGCCTAGTGATTCTTACATAAATAAATGCTTCCTATGAATAACCTTATTAACCTCTTCATGCACTAGATACTGAAATATTCAATCCACTTGCAGTAATTGCAGCAGCTCTGAAATCATAGAATCATTCAGGTTGGAAAAGACCATTGGGATCATCGAGTCCAACCATCAACCCTAATCTACAAAGTTCTCCCCTACACCATATCCCCCAGCACCACATCTAAACAGCTCTTGAACAAGTCCAGTCTAAACCTACCCTGTTGCAGCTTGAAGCCAAATAATGCACAGGAAAAAAAATAGGCCTTATGCCCAAATGCCTCCACATGTGACATGTTGTCTGTAGAAAGGATATTCTGCCTCAGGGTTAAAAAAAAAAATAATCAAAATTTCCAGGTAAAACACCTCCACTTGTAATACCTCAAAGCAGCCTGGAGATCCTTGGATGGCATAAATCCCCCCAGTGTTGCTGTCACAGACCCCTAAGCTGCTGGTGTATGTGGTACAGTGAAAGCTCATTATGTATCTTATTCACCCCAACAGCTCAGTCATTCAAAGTCACTTACTACAACTCAACTTGCTCATTTTGCTGTGGCCTCCATAGGAAACCCCTAGCTGGGGATGCATGCTGTAAAGTCAGTTTTTACATTATATTTTACAATAAAATAGTAATTCCCCCCCCAAAAAAAACAAGACAACAAAAAAATCTCAGCATCTATTGGCAGAATACAGACATGCAACAGGTGATGATACTGCTGGAGAGGGTACAGCAAAGGGCCACAAAGATGATTAAGGGCCTGGTACATGTCTCCTACGAGGAGAGGCTGAGGGACTTGGGTCTTTTTAGTCTGGAGAAGAGAAGGCTGAGGGGAGATCTAATTAATGCACACAAATACTGAAAGGGTGGGTATCAGGAAGA